TTATACAGATTTGTTGCAGACTTTGTATCCTTGTTGAAGTCGTCACAGAAAGTGAAAGTAACGTTGTTTTTCGCACACAGCATTGTCATTTTAACCTCCGCATTTATGACCTGGTTAATGTTGTAAATGACCTGCAGACTACTGCAGGTGGCAGTTCTCGCGAGGCTACTGAGTTCAGTTTGGAGAGGCAGAGGAATTTTTTTTAAAATGATATTATAATACGGGAGATTTACGGGAAAATACTAATACGGGAGGACGGTGGGAAAGAAGGGTAAAATATGGTAGTTTCCCGGCCAAAACGGGAGACTTGACATCTATGGACAAGGCACAGCACTGGACACCATAGGAGACACAAGACTCAGGTACATAGAGCACAGGGCAGCCATGTGATGGGACACCAGGGCTAGAGAGAGACAGACGAAGGGGAATAACGCATTAGGGAGCAGACAAGGCGGGCTAAGGCTCTGGGGCAGGAGGTGAGGCTGGGGAGGACGAAGGGACCAAAATGGGGACAGTACGGGAGGAATAAGGGGCGGAAATGGACCAGGGGTGACCAGTGGCAGGGCAGGGTACTAGGGTGGAAGGGGGAACATAGGACTAGTGAAGATAGGGCTAGGGGGTCCAGGGCTGGCCAGAGAGAGGTGAGGTGGCTGAAAAAGGGTTTCAGGACTGGTGCGGGGAAGTGACGTTAGGACGGCCGGGTCAGGCGATGGTGCTGAGGCAACAGGGCAGGGGGACATCACCGGTGCTGTGGGGTCAGAGTTGGAGACCCTGGGAGCACCTGTAGGGGGAGAAGGATGATGGGGACAGACACGGGGGCTAGAAGACGGCCATGGCGGTGGCCTCGTCTCCCTCTACGGGAGATTGAGGGATGGCAGACCCCCCACCTGGATACATGAGGGGCAGAGAGGCCCCTTCTGGACAGGGACCCAGTGGCACCTGGGGCTGGGTCAGGAACCAGGGTCAAATTAGGGGGTTCCCCCCTGTGGTTAACAGGGCCCCTCTGGGCTGGAGGCCTCGGGAGGGCCGGGGCTGGAGCTGGAGGCCTTGGGCAGGCCAGGACTGGCACTGGGGCCCACAGGAGGGCGCAGGTGAACATGCCGCAGCAGGAGCCGGCGAGGCAGAGGTCGTGGGCGAACACGCCGCAGCAGGAGCCTTTGGGAGCCTGAAATATAAGGCATGAGCAGGGGAGCAGACACCTCCCCCAGGCTGGCTGAACTAAGCAGGCGTGCTTCAGGGGGCAAGCCACATTCAAGCCCCTGGGGCAGTAGGCTGAACCGGGGCAGCATTTCGAGGGGAAGAGGGATCTTCCACTCCTCGGGGCCAAAGGGGGGCATGGCGGCGTCATCCCCTGGGCTGGGCTTCAGTCTCTGCCTCCTGCGGCGGGTGTTCACAGAGGGCTGTGGAGGGCTACTAGCTGCAGATCCCGGAAAGGCATCTGACACGCCCTCCTGTCTGTGATCTGTCCGCTTTTCTCCACGAGCAGACACAGCGGGGTTGACA